ACAGACAGAGAGAGAGAGAGAGAGATTTCGACGAGTACTTGTATAGATTCGTAGTTTCAAACGAATGGTGGAAAAAAGGAGGGGTGGGGTAGTTTGAATCTCTAGGAGGAGATTGTCGATAATGTATGCGTAACACAATGACTATAGTTTTTATTTAAAATTACTTTACGAGGTACATTTATATATACATAAAAAATGTATGACTAATACATTTAAGCTTACGCAATATGGACATATTCGTACACGTGCAATAACGTAATTGTAACACTTTTTTTTTTTCCATTTTCATTCTTATACTTTTTTTCAAGAAGAGTTTTTAATCTCTTAATTTGTTTATTTATTAAAATCGGCATTCGATGCAAATGATCAACGATTTATGTCTAACTTGTATCGAGTTCCTACGAACGATACCGGAATGTTGCAAGTTTCTTTTGCCCCGACGAAACAAATGAAATTCTCGTACGTGTACACACACACATACACACACACACACACACACACGATCCGAGAATCGGCGATCGAACGAACCGAGTTCGGTCGAATCGAGTCGAAGAGAGTTTACAACAACAGTTGGTGGCAAATCATCAGGGAGAGAAGAGAGAAGCGAAGATCAACGACGAAGCGAAACAAGTAGAAGGAGAGCAGGCTTGCCAGAGCCAGAGCCAGAGCCAGAGCCAGAACAAGGTGAGGACAAATCGGTTGCGAGAAACGCATATCGCCGCGTCGTATGGTATACGAGCGAACGGAAAAGAAGGAGGGAGAAATTATACGTAGGGGTGGGAGAAACGGGGAGAGTTTCGGGGCGACACGAATCGACCGAAATCGAAGAAGAACGTTTCCCGCTCCCGATATTTGCGAAATTTTTGGTAAAAATATGGGACGATAGACGACGAACACTTGTGAGATTCATACGCGGACACGTGACAACATGCAACAGCATACACGTTATTTTCTTGCATCTTCTCGTCTATACATCGCGCTGCAGCTAAGCGCGTCCGCCGGATGCAAAACGCAGTTTGTGACGCGCAGCCCACGCGTACGCGGATTTCTGCGGAAATGGTCCATCTCGATGGATTCGCTCGCGTTCCTCCGTGTTCTCGTAAAATGCACGGCACAAAAATAAATGCTCCTATCTCGATTACGTATGTTCTCTTTCTTTTATCCTTGCACGCACGACACGTCATACGCGCGCATTTTCTTTCAGAGTTCTATTCATAACTCTAACGCAACGTTACACACACACACACACACGCACATTCACGCACGCTTGTACACACATCTTTATAACTAACTACAGTTCATGAAATTTTTGCTTTTTACAAAATATCACAAAAATCACACCAGCCTTTGTTCGCGACAAAAAAGACAACCAATTTATCGTGTGCCGCTGCTGTGCCGCTCGAAGAAAAAAGATGACATAAAACGGCGAGATACGACGTCGTTGTTTCGTTAGCCTCGGGCAAACTCGACTCGCTCTGCTCGCTTTTCTCCGCGAAACGTATCGCGCGAGCAGCCAGCACATTTCTCTGCTCTCTCGTCGTCTGTCACACTTTTGCCTCCGCATTCGAAACGCGCGTCACATTTTTTATTCTCTTGGCGTGACTTTTTCGTTCGGCGAGCCTCTTTCTTTCTTCCTTACTTCCTCACTCTTTCTTTCGTGGCCATCTCGAAAGAAAGAAACGGTACTCACAGACAATCGAATCGCCAGATTCGCTAATGAAACCTGAATGGCGGGAAAGGCGAGGCCGCGCGACGCGTTTCTAGAGCAAGTTTTGCGTGAAAGCGTAGAAAACACTTAAACCTACTGTCTTTTGGGTTTGTTAGTCGAGGAGCTAGTTTCG